CATCATTGGCAAAAAAACACAAAAAAATCCTCATCATAAAATTCAATCTTTTGAACTATACAAACACTCAAATTATCTGCTGGCTAGGGGAGGAAGTGCACCTACCATATGCACACAGTCGTGAGCAGACAAGTAACCCAAAACAAATAAGATACAAAATAATTCACATGCCTTTATCTCTACTCAAATTTCAATATTCTATGTTGGTTTTACTAACGAAATGTAAAAAAACATACATATTTATTACCCTATATTATTTCAGAGGGAAGGGTATTATGTGTTGGTGCTGATGTTTGTAACAATAAAATATAATGATCCTAAATATGGATACCAGGCAACACGAGAAAAATCGGCAAAGAAAGTGCGAATTTATTGCTTTAAAGGGAATGGAATGCACAACTACTCGATGTAACGAGGACTGAACGGCGTAACAAGGACTGAATAAAAACAAGTAGGAAAGTATAGTCGGGCATTGCCGACCTTATCATACCCCACACCATTGAGTATGTTAAAAATAGGGTTTACTTTTAATAATAAAATATTTAAGTTGTTTACCTTAATTTCGAAATATTTGAACAATTTATTGAAAAAAGTGATTTTCTAAAAAACTGGTTATATGGGGGCAAGAGTAAATATGGGCCTATCGTTATAAATTGTGGTACATGGCTTTACGTTTACATTAGAGTTATGTACGTCGGATTTCATCGTGATACTAGTGCTTATAAGTGAATTATTGACCTTGAAGTCTTTTTCTAAGGGGACTTTACATGGGAGCTAGAGTCAAATATAGTGCGATAATTAAGAAAATCGGTAGTATTATTGAGACGTATATATAACTAAGTTTTGCCGATTTTTGTAGAGATACTACAATGTTTAACATAATTATGAACTCAAAAGCCCTTGTCGGGGGGTAGGGTTGTATGGGGGCTCGGTGAAATAATGGAACGATTTCAACCATTTTCAATAGGCTTCGTCGCTGGGTCCAAATTTCATCAAAATATCTTGAAAATTGCGACCTGTACCTTGCGCACAAGGTTTACGTGGACAGCCAGCCAGCCGGACAGACGGACGGACATGGCTTAATCGACTCAGAAAGTGATTCTGAGTCGATCGGTATAGGTGGGTGTAGGAGCAATATTTTTGTGCATTACAAACACTATGGTGGTGTAGGGTATAATTTTAAGCGAGATGGCCCCTTGTTATAATTTAGCGGTGGGTAGAAACACAAAGATCCTACGGGCCCATAATAACAGGACAGTAAGCATAAACAGAACCAGTAAGTTCAAGTTTGTGGCCTCCGGTAGGTTAGTGTTCTAGTCTGGTAGACCCGGGGTGGTGGGTTCGATTCCCACCTGAGGCACTGGTTAAGGAGCGCACAACAGGCCCGATAGAGGCCTAGGCCTGTATTTCTTCGGATTTGATGTATATATGTATGTACATCCTTCTTTCAAACTAACTAAGTAACTAAATAAGTGTGATGGCACATACTAAAGTGGATGTACAGGATTACGGGCGTAACTGCACAAAATTGGATGAGCGAATTCAAACGAATGTAGAGCATGGAGCATAGGACAGTGAGGCTCTGGAACACTTCGTCATTGAAAAGCTTCTTCGAAATTAGATTCAAAAATTTTCCGAAAGATATTATTCGAGATGAAACTTCCCTCACACATATTGATTGGAACGTTCTTAGTATTACTAAATTAGTAATAACTTTCAGGAAATACTACATAATATGTAGTTAGTCAGATAAAAAGACGGATGGACGAACGAATTTCGGTAAATAAACATTTCCGGTCTTTCTCTCTAAAAGAAATTTAATATTTGTGATCTTTATGATATTTCTTTATATTGCAAAATAAATTCAATTTATGAAAATCTATTCGAAAATTAATTTAAAACGTAGTATATATATACATCAATTGAAGTGTACAAATTGTTCCATGCTCGTGTTTATTATTTCTTCTGAAACAATTTTGTTAATGATGAATCTTTTGATTTTTACCAACATATTGATTGCATTTTGTATTCACACATGTCTTCGTACATATTTACTTAAATGTACGAATTTATGTGCATAAGCAAATATACATAAATTGTTTTTTTTTTCCAAAGAAATTTGTACATATTTTGATGGAAACGAGAAAAAAAACTATAAAACCCAAAAAACAAAGAGTGTCTTTTGTTTGTTTTAATCAAAATTTCTAAAGAACAAAAAAATAAACAAATACAATCATTTTAACTAATTGGTTATGAAGGGCCATAAAATATTTTTGTTGTTCGAATGAATGCAGCGTCAAATAAACAGACAGAATAAATGTATGCTGCTGCAATATTTTTTTCGTTATTGCTGCATATATTTAAATTTATAATAAATTATTGTTCTAGTCAATTTAAAAACAAATGGTGTGTTCATTTTTATGGAAATAATAATATTCTTAGTTGATATGAATGGGTATTAAAAAAATTTTATTTTTTCTGGACATTTTAATGATTTTGTGAATTTTTTTTTATAGTACATACTTACATATATATAAGTAAATATTTACTTTTAAATTTATTTTGTATAAAAATGTGTTTTTAGGGTTAAATGGTATTAAAAATATTTAATTCAAATTTGCACTGTGTAAAAAAATAAAATAACTAAGAAAGTACAGTTGGACAAGACTGACTTCTCTACAGTTCGAAAAAGAGTTAATGCATTAGATTTTTCTCTAAATCTAACCACCTGGTTGGATCTAATTTGTCTTTCGTCACTTTTTTGTTTGCTCTTTTGTAAGCGAGAGCTAAGACTCTCTTGACTTTGCCCAATTGAAACGGTTCATTGTTATCCTTAGATTACATACATATGTGTCAAGTGACCCACCTTTTAAAATCGATGTCTTCCGATTTAGATGAAATTTGTAAAAACAAAAATAATAATATTTTAAGACAAAAACTTTGCGCTTTGAGTTAAAATATTTTTAGATTCCAACTCGCATCCCACTAAGTAACTCCAAAGATTTTAAAGGAAATGGTCTAAGCTTTCTATTGAGCAAGTGCCAAATATTGAAATAATCTTGATCTTAAGTTAAAAAATAATATTTCTGATAGATATCCCACTCGCATCCCATAATGGGACTATAAAGCTCTTAAAGGAAATCGTATAAGCTTTCTTTTGGGCAAAAAAGGACCCTTTTTGAAAAAAAAATAAAAATTTTTTTTTTTTTTTTTTGAAAACAATGAAGAATTTTTTGCTAGGAGAAATAGGTAAAAAGTTACACTCATTTGACCAAAATGTCCAACATTGACCCCCTGACGTCAATATTTGCTGAGCTGGATCAAAGGATAACAGGGTCCTTTTTAAACCCACCATCAAAAAAGATAGGGGCGTATATTGATTTTGTCATTCCGTTTGTAACACATCGAAATATTGGTCATAGACCTACAAAACTACATATATTCTGGGCCTTATTAAATTCTAAGACGATTTAGCCATGTCAGTCCGTCTGTCTGTCTGTCAGTTGAAAACATAGATAGAATCCGAAGGGAATGAGTTAGAGGATTAAAATTTTCACAAATATTCTCTATAGGTAAGGTTTGTTTGGTATTGAAAATGGACGATAGCGGTCCACATTTTTGGATAGCCCCCATACAAGTGGGAATATCTGTTTACAAAGATAGACTATAACGATGAAATTCGACACAAATAAGTTCCATATAAGAAAAAATCTCCCAGCCAAATTTTCTGAGAATCGGTCCATAATTGACTCTACCCCCATATAAGGTCCCCTTCAGAAAATTATTTTAATGATCATTACTGGCTTAAAAATACGAGTATAGCGATGAAATTTCACATAAGTGAGTTTCTGATAAGCCAAAACCTATATTTATCTAACACACTTAATATGTATGTATATTAAGCAATTTTATTAGCTTTAAATTGGTATATAACACTTTATAATTTCATTATATTACACCATGCAACAGTCATTTTCACACTTGAAAAAATCTATGTGTACAGGAAACTGTGGATAATTAGTCCACAGGATATGCGATTTCAAAAGATGGAATTCCAAATTTATATAAAAAAGTTGGTATTAATATTAATATCAAATGAAACTGAAAACCTCTGCTTAAAAATAATATGATTTATTTAATTTCATCAGGATTCAAAAAACAAATGAAAGCTTTAAGAAAATTTGTCACAAAATTTTTGATAAATTCAAATAAACTTCGATCTAGTTTGAATTATCACAAACGGAAAAACCGTTTCGGTAAATTTTATTAATGATAACTATGTATTAATTTCAACGAATTATATTAAATTCATCTGTGTTAAAATGCAAAAATTCTGAAAATTTTCCGAAAATTTTGAAAATTCCGATAATTTTTGGTATGCCATTGAAAGCGTCTCTCAAGGGTCTTTCTAATGATACCAAAATTTCATATATTCCTTTGGAAGAAATATGAAAAAGATCATAAAAGTCTCAAAAAAGGACCTTTTTATCCTTTGATCCAGCTCACCAAATATTGACGCTAGGACAAAAATTTTCAGAAACAGTATTTTAAAATCAATTAAACTTTAATTTTTGTTGGGAACATTTACACCTTATTTTTCCTGCATAAAAACAAGGCCACCGTAATGTACATACATATATATTTTAACCTGTCCAATAAAATGTTGACAGCTGTAACCGAACTACTCAGCCCTCATATCATTCGATTGGTGCATTATTTATAAAATTTCTAAAGAAATTTTTAAATAATTTAAAAACATAAAAAGGTATATTTCATATTACCACTTTTATGGTACTTAGTCCAACATCAAAAACCAAATTATGAAACTTTTTCCCCAACAACCTAACATAATACAGGCCAATTATTCTAAAGATGTCCAATATGGCTAAATATTTCTTTCCTAGAAACATTATAACAATTATGTCTCCTGTTTATTTTTATTCTGTTATGACAACGTAAACTAATAAATATTTAATGTATTTTTTTCTGTCTATTTTCAGCATATTGAGACTTCAAAAAAAAATACTACAATTTGAATGTTAAAGAATTCGCAGAAATACTATAATATAAAAATCACAAATTAAATGCTCAGCAAACCTAAAATGAAAAACAAAATATGTATAATTAAAACTAACAAAAACAAACTGAATGAAATCAAAATAAAGAAATAAAATTCTACTACAACTGGTAGTAAATCACAGAAATCATCAACAAAATTCCCATAAGTAAAAATACAGCAGAGCCCAAGGAACGCTAAAATATCAACATATTTCTGTAAAGAAAACAAAAACAAATCATTAAAAATACATGCCACTAAATAGGAAATAAACTAAACACAATATTCTACTAGTGAAGTTAACATTATAATTAGCAACATTTCCAGTCAACAATGTTGACAAGCAACATGTTGCTGTAACCTATAACAAAAAACAAATTCCAATAAGAAAAATTCTTTTAATTTTTTTTTATTTTGTCAGCTGTATACAAAAAGACTCTGCAACAAAGGGAAAACTTATTCAGACAAACACACATACAATCTACACAAGCAAGTGTTTGTGGAATGGAAAAGTGAGAAAGATTTTTGTGTATGTAGCTGCGAGTGAGTGTGAGTGTTTCAGAAGGCCTACAACGACAACAGACATATGGGAGGTTTTGTTGTTGTGTTTGTTGTGCCAAAGATTAGTTGCACATGTAACGGTTCCGGGAAGAGTTGGTAAAACGGAAGTGTAACGAACCTAAAAAACACTAAGGCCAAACAAAAGAAGAAGAAACAAAAATTTACGTGAATACGCAAAAGTGTAAACGCCAAAAAAGAGCAAATATTAAACTTTAATCTATTGTGAAAAGTGAATAAAAAATTGACGAAAGTAAATTAAGTGAATTTAATACAATAATTTAAACATACACATATAAATTAAATAAAGAAAATATTAAAAAATAAAAATATTTTTCTTAAAAAAATTCAAATATATTTTTAACTGTAAGAGTGTTAGAATATTGTGTTTTATAAGAATTAATATAGTTAATGATACTTAATTTACTATATATTGAATTAAATGGCTAACAAATTGTGTAATTTTGATACAAATAGAATTTGTACATACATATGTATGTAGGTATGTATTTACATATGTATGTCAGGTTTTTTGTTTTTAACATATGTTGCATTTATTTGTCCTGTATAATATTCTATTCTTCTATATATATAAAAATGAATGTGTGTTTGTTTGTAAGTTTGAACGTTATAGACTACTAAACGGCTGAACCGATTTTCTTCAAATTTTCACAGCGTATTCCTGTATGTCTGGAATAGGTAATAGGCGAGGAGCCACGAACATATTAAGAAAATATTAAATCCGCATATGTTAGGTGTTCTCGAAGCCCCCATATGACTTAAATAAAGCCCCCATATGACTTAAAAATATCTGAGAAGCTATTAGAGCTAGAATTTTCAAATTTTAATTGAAAAATCATCACATTCATCTGAACATTTAGAGTATAACTTTCAATGTTGAACATGGCACCTCCCATATGAATTAAATATAAAATTTCGTTTATCTGTGAAATTAATAGAACTTTATTCTTAAAGTTTTGCACATATTACTTTAGAATTCATCTGAACATTTTGGACTTTCATGTGGGGAGCTTGAAGCCCAAATAGAAAAATTCGTATATCTGAGAAACTATCAGAGCAAGAATCTTAAAATTTTACATGAAGAACTTTGAAATTCATGTGAACATTTAGAGAATAACGGGCGGACTTTTAATGGGTGGCTTGGCACAACATATATGAATTAAATACAAAATTTCGTGTATCTTGGAAACTCTTATATTATTCAAATTTTTCATAGATAGATAGAAATTGGCGATAGATAGAAACTGGCGAACTTGCAATAATTTGCTTGACATCTTTCATATGTAACATATTATAAATCTGGAAAACTATTGTAGTTATAATCTTCAAAATCGTTAAGAGGGTTTTTTATTTATATGTACATATTCCTTTTAGAGTAGCAAAGCAGACTGGGTATAGCTAGTTGCCAGATAAAAAAAGATTATAATAATGCTAAATACATTTTTACTGTTTCGAAATTTAAAACTTTAAAATTGTCTCCTGCAACTCAATGTTAAGATTTGCTTCTTACCAACATTACAAAACTTAAACATTAAAAGTATATTGGGTTTGTGCTGACATTTGTAATGCACCTTTGTATACCAATCGGCTTGGAAAAATTTTTTGATTCGCTTATGTCATGACCGTCCATTAATCCACATAATATCTTTGGATGAAAACTATTGATTTTTATTGAAATTGGTCCGTTTTTCCACAGCAAGAAAAAAAGTGATGATTTTAACACAGGCTTGTCATAGGAGAGATGTCCTTTTTATTTGAATCCAAATTCACTACTTCTGAAGTCATTCTCAAGAAGTAATTTTTATGTTCTTTTTATAACTGATTTGACTTAAATAATATTAACAAAATAAATCAATTACACACATTTAACATAAACCTATTTTAGGTAATTTTTTAACTAAAAAAATGTTGGCACAAAAAATTATGCCTTAAGTTTAGAAAAAAATATAATTATTTTCGTTTCATTGGAAGTCATTAAACATCACTTTCTTAGTTGCTAAAAAATTCACTTAGTGCTACTTTTGAAGTGGTGATAAATGTAATTATATTTGAAGTACTTCTGCACGACTAAGATTTTTATGAAGCCTAATGGTATTGATTGTAATTAGCAGGCCTCAAAGAACTAAAATGTTTCATAAATTTTGATGAAAAACAAATTTTCTGAAATATGATTTAAATATGGCTTTGGGGAATATATGGACCGATCCTTATAAGATTTGGTTTATGGATTTATACAAAATGTATTTATGATGAATTTCGTCGCGACATTAGCCTTTTTAAGCAAATTGTGGACAATTATGTTATTTTCAGAAGAAGACGTTGTATGAGGGATTTTTGTGGATACGAGTATATTAAACATAATTATGAGCTGAAAAGACATATTCGGGGCGTTTAGTTGTATGGGGCTTATTCTTAGCTGATTCGAAATATTATCGAAAATTACGTCTTAATCAGTACCATTTGCTCCTTAATGAGCAAATGTTTGTGCAACACGAAATTGCAAATTATTTTCCTTCAGGAGCACATAATATTTACAAAAATTATAATTTAAATAAAAAATTCTGATGCTGAAAATTACTTAAAAAATAAATGTATGTAGAAAAACATTTCTTATGTATTTTGATTTACAAAAATCCAATGAAAATTTCTCCAAAACTTAGTAAAATTCCTATATGGAGCATAATTTTAAAAATCACTTTAAAGTTTACTAATCTCAGGCAAGGGTTGACTGACAACTCTAGTTTTATAAATTATATTCATACATACTTCTTTCGAATAAGAGTGTCAAGATTTTCGATTCACAATTAAGACAACAGAGATTTTTTTTAAATATGACAACAAAAGATACACATGTGTTAAAATGTTTGTATATTCGAGAACGTGGCAAGTAATTTTCTTTTTATACTTCTTCACTTAATTAGTGTCAAGTAGTCATCCATCACTCGGCTGCTTTCGCACACAATAATTATAAAATTATGCAACTTGAGTGGAGAGACAGACGACAAGCAGACATATGATTTTGCAACAAAATACACAATTTATATAATTAATGCTTACAGTGTAAAAAACAACTAAAATAAAAAAAAATCTTTAAAAAAATCTTTATAAAACTATAAATAAAAGTTTTAATATAAAACTAAGTACACACATAAACAAAACCATGCAAGTAATAGAGAATAAAAATAAAATTAAATTAACAGACTCAACCTGTTTGTGTAATAGTTATAATTGTGTCGGAAAACATAAATGCAACATGTTGTTAACACTTGAATCTAACAACAACAACAGCAGTAATGTTACTAACAAAAGCAAGAACAACAACTACAATAATAATTGCTTAACAAGTATGACATGTTTGTGTGGGTGTATTTCTTGTTGTCACTCAAAAGTTGCAACAAAAGCAACATCCCCTACAACACCAACATCGTCATCATCATCATCATCAACAAATACTATAATTTCGTCAACAAAAACAGAAATATCAACAACAATGCAAACATCAACATCAGCCTCATCATCGTCCACTAAGGACAACTCTAATTACATGCATTGTGCAAATGCATTCAACACACACACATGCTACAATTGTGGCATCAACAAAGAAAACAACAACAGTGACAGATGTTGCAATATTAACAGTACAAGAAGCAACAGTTTATACAAAACAACAACCAGCAACAGTTTTAGAAATTTCATCTTAAGCATCAACAACAATTTAAACAGTCTCATCAAGTTTGTCATTGTTTTGATATTCCTCACATGTTGTGGTAAGTTTTTCTTCACTTCATTTTAATTTCCCTTTTTTTTATAATTATTTATATATAGTTTTTTAAAACATATATGAAAAATATTTTTGAGTCCCACATATACGTATATTTATGTGGTTTATCTCACAAATTTTGTTAAAAAATATTTATAAATAAAATAGTAATTTTATGATATATATCCAAAAAGTTATTCACAAATTTTTTGGAAATCGGAATACAAAGGAGTAAATGTGGTCGTTTCAAAAAGTTTACATATCCGATGTGTCTTATTTTGGAGCCCCTTTAACCACACCCCTAGTGGTGCCATGGCGTCCAAATTCAAAACTCGGAAACACCTCTTCTTTCCGCATATAAAATTTCATTCAAATCGTACTAACAATTTAATGAACAAATTTACTTTCATATTCATAACCACCATCAAAAAAGATGGAGGGTGTATTGATTTTGTCATTTCGTTTGTAACACATCGAAATATTAGTCATAGATCAACAAAAGTATATATATTCTCGGTCCTTATTAAATTCCAAGACGATCTAGCCATGTCTGTCCGTCTGTCTGTTGAAAGCACGATAGAGTCCGAAAGGAACGATTTTCTATAATTATTCTCTATAGGTAGGGTTTGTTTTGTATTGAAAATGGGAAATATTGGTCCACGTTCTCGGATAGTCCCCATATAAGTGGACCCCCGAAAAACAGCTTTAACTGGCATATCTGTTTTAAAAGTATAAGTATAGCGATGAAATTCAAAATAAATAAGTTTCATATGATCCAAAATCTCCCTACCAAATTTTATGAGGATCGGTCCATAATTGAGCATAATTGAGTATAGCAATGAAATTTGACCCAAAATCTAAATTCGACCCAAGTAAGTTCCTTGCGAACCAAAATCTCTTAACCAAATTTTATATGGATCGGACCATAATTGACCCCTACAAGATCCCCTTCAGATAATTAATTTAATGCTATTAAATAATTATATAATTAATTTAATTAATATAATTAATTTACTGGCTTAAAAATAACAGAAAAGCGATGAAATTCGACACACATATGTTTCATACGAGTTAAAATCTCTCCACCAAATGCGAAAGTGTCGGGAAGTGATAAAATGTTTTATATGAACCAAAATCGGTTTAAAAAAATGTATGAAAAATTTTATGAAAAACGGTCAATAATTAATTCTATCTCTCATCAGTTAATTTGATGAGTAACATCCTGATATTTATTTTACAGCATTCCTTTTAATGCATACGGTTTGATGGTGGGTATATGAGATTCGGCACAGCCGAATATAACACTCTCACTTGTTTTCCTATCGCACTGTGGTTAAATACTGTTACTATTTCTGTATAAAATATTCCGTGCTGTTACCATCTCAGCAGATTTCGTATCAGTGTTGTGGCTGTGACTGGTGGGTGCACATGTTTGAATTAAAAATCGGTACAGAAACTTGTTAATCCGTTTCGTTATTTCATGGTAGTACATTTGAGTTTCCACATATGAAAGTAGTATAGGGTTTATGTGTTGTAGAATCATTGTGCGAGTGCCTTCCTATCACTGACTTTCTGTCGTGAATTACCTCGGTCCTACCGTGATACTGTACAAAACATTATTTAAAATTGTATTTTTTGAAAAAAAAAACTATATTTTTGGAAATTTTATCAATATAAAACAAAAGCATCTCAAGTCTCTTATGGACTAACGAATAGAGTAGTCTATAAACTAGGCAATAGACTAGAAAACGATCTTCCAGGATTCTATACAATATGAAAGAATATAAAAAATAATTGTTTGAAGTTTAGTAAAATTTCGGTAGTAGTGTGAACTTTGTGTTAAAAGTACAATTCTAAATTATTATTTCAATAAAGAAATATATCGAGGGACAATATTCAATAGTCTCTATCTGTCATTTTCATGAAAATAAGATTCTGATGGCAAAATATACAGCATACTATCCCGCATTAGTGATATAAATTTCAAAGAAAAAATATATTTTTTTGGCAATTTTATAAAATTTTTTACATTTCTCTATCTTAAAGAAATAAAAATTCCGAATGCAAAACCCTCTATCTTATTCAAAAATTGCTTCAAACTCTATTATATTTTATAATTTTCTGCTGCAAAACAAGTGTTTTTACTAATTAGGACATGCTGAACACAAACACATCAAACACGAATCACAAATATTTAAAATCGGTTTAATAGTTTTCGAGATAACGCTCATTATAATACTAATTTGATTATTTTTATTGAGGTGTTAAACCATATAACATTAATTTTGGACCAAAACCTTATAATCTGTTGCTTTTTCATTACTTCATTAAATTGCATAAAAATATACTATTTACTGATATTAAATCAAATAAAAAATTTATATTTATATAAAAACTCTCTATCTGAATGTTTAAAAAAAAAATGTAGAAAAAAAGCTCTATTCTTATATCAGATAAATTTCTGAATAATTTTGCAAATAATGCAAAATTTTAAATTCTTTTTATATAACGATTTAGAATATGGTCGTAAAAATATATTGTAGAAGAAAATATTCACGAACTAGCGAAATAAACAGTTTTTTTGCTCTCCTGAAAACGTGTATTATTTTAGATAGAGATTATTGAATATAGTCCCTCGATATATTAAAATTGTACAAAATAGGTCATTTGTGAGTTTTCTTTACAAGTCACAAAAGAGCGGTGGTTGATCACCTCTAGCTCACCAACGTTGGGTTAGGTCAACGCTAGATATACTTATGTAAAGCACTGTTGAAACCTAATTTACATGTACAAATATACAAAATTTAAAAACAAAACAAATATATTTTAGATATTTTGTTACATTTAATCATGAAAATAATTTATCAAGGATATTCAAAATATTTAAATCCCCAAATAAAATTATCAAAAATTTGTATAATGGAAACTTTTTGCTCTAAAATATGTATATTTAAAACTTATATGAAATTGTGTTCAAGTGTATGTACGTGTGACCATTGAACTAATCATCTATGTATTTTTTAGTTTTTCCATATGAATAATTTGTCAAATATGACACACTAAGCACATTTCAATTTACTAACCTTAGTAACAACAAAACAACAACAGCCGCAACGACACAACAACAATAAATGTCATTATAAAATAACAATTATATAAAATAAAGAGGATAGATACATAGAATTGAATAGACAGACATGCATAAATATAAATAAGCGTCCACGATTTTAAACAAAATGCTTCATAGCTCATATAGGTTCATATATATGTATTTCATAATAGAATTTAGATGATTCACCCTACAATTTGGATACATAATGTGAATGTGATTTTTAATAATCAGTTCAAAATTAATATTTGTCCCTACATAAGGCTCTCGCAGAAAATTAGTAGGTAGTCCAAAAATCACATAAATATTCAAAATAAACTTGGACATATGTAAATGTATTCGGCCTAAAATTTACCTGAGCCCTATTATAGAGCTTTCTATAAAAATTCTCCGCAAATCCTATGCATATCTTATCAATATGGTTATTGTTATATAATAACATTATTTACTTTTATGATTTAGCCTTATTTTAAGACCTGCCCCAATGTTATACATATATATGTACATATAGTCGACCTAGATCGACTCTAATTTCTTAATTGATTTTGTTCATATTATTTTCTTTTTTGTGAAATCCTCATTTAAATGACATTGTCAGCTTTTGCATAAGTGCAACATAATTATAAAAATGTTGCGGTTGATATAACAACTTTTATACGTGTGTATTTATGCATACTTCAATAGTATACATATGTATATGTATACATACACGTATGTATGTATGGATGTATATGAACTAAATTCTTCATTTGTCTAAAATTGTGTGCGTTTAATAATTCATTAATAAATAAAATATCTGGGCAAAATATGTGTGTTTTGTATAAACAAACATAACTATTATTTTACACTTGTACTAAAACGTGCAATTATTTGTTTTTGTTATTATAAATAATATTGTAAACTATAGAAAATTTTAAATATGTACATACACCAAGGCTAGTACTATTGGATAGTAGGTCAGACACAAATTTTCAGTTCTATCGATCAAGAACTTCCAGAGTTAGAGATGGTCAAAGTTGGACATTTTGATCATATAGGGTTTTTTTTTCAAATGAGTGTAACTTTTCACCTATTGGTCCCAACAAAAATTATCCAAAGGAATTTAAATAGCTATTTGTTCAATATTTCTAACATTAAACAAAAATTTAATCAAATTTGTTTAAATTTTTTTAATTGGGCTTTTATTTTATTTTTTTGCTCAAAAGAAAGCTTATACCGGTTATAGTCGGTGGGTATATAAGATTCGGCTATGTTGAAATTTTTTAGACCCATTAATATATGTATGACTTAAGAAATTATATGTTTCCAAATTCATAACATTTTTTATTAAAGATACAATGCAATAACTTAATTTACTAAAAGGGAGAAAAACTTAAAATCAAAATCGCAAAAATATAAGAAAAAGCTTTTAAGCACCACACATAAAACTATACAAGACAAGATCATTTATACAACATACATTTAGGTGGTATTAATAAAATAAAAATCTGATATATTTTTAGGGGCAATACAACTGAATTGATGAAAAATATACACAAACACTATTTTGCTCGTTTTTTTTTTTAGATACGAGGCAAAGATTTTTTACGCCCTTGTTTGTGATAAAAAAAAATGGCAGCCGAAAACGTTTGAATTGCAACACAAGTCAATTTAGAGGGAATTTTTTAATGCCATTATTTCACTCAGGCGTATTTCAATTTCTTTTTTAAACACGATTCCTTTTACTTGTTAGTAGCACAAAAAAAGAAAAGAAAGCAACTCAGTTTTGCTTAAATGTTGTGTAAATTTCCAACCCTCAAGTTTTTTTAAACAACTATGTGTTCTTTCCGAAAACAAACAATGAAAGATAGGAAACGTACTAAAAAACCCCTTAAATCGTTACACTATGACAGGTGCTT